TGAGACTTTTTCTATAAATGTCAGATTATCAACGCTGCATTTTTGTCAATTTGCGAGTGACTTAAGCATTGCGGACATGTGAACTTATTGGAATTGTATCATTCTTGTTGAGGAGGACTCCAAAGAGAGTTGAAACGTTCAAATAAAGAAGACATCAATCCATTTTTTGAGTATTGATTGATCATTATAACACTTGCGCTGTTTATCTTCGCTGACTCTCGTTAGCCTACTATATTTTTTGTTATATTGCCTAAATATTAAGTAATGAGCAATGAAGACCTATGTAATTCAAGGAATGAAGATCTCTATTTTGAACTGTTGTATGATGTACCGAAGGAAAACGAAAAGCGGAGGTTGAAAAGCAGTTTGTTGCGAGATTATTTATTGTCATAATATTTTTGCAGACGCGCAGTTGATCGAGTAATTATCGTTGCACGCGGCATCTGTTGTCGGTAACAGGATGCATGATAACAGGAGTGTGCGAGATTACGCGTAACAAATTGTGACGCTAATACAATCGTTTCCTCGGCTTTCCTCACCAGTGCTCTGGCAACAGCAGCGCCGGCGTGCAGCACTTAGCCGGGCGTTTACGAAAGCGTCGCCTTTGTAAGATAAACGCGCGACCGAACTTGTAATATCTTGTGACATCGCGCACACGCGCGGTTTAACGTAATGCGTCTTCCTTGTTTCAGCTCGTTCTAACGCACGGAAGGCGCGTATTATGTGAGGAGGAAACCGCGACGAGGGAAACGAAGATGTCCGCCGTCAGCGTCGTCGCATGGTTGCTTGGCGCCGTCGCTTTAGCTGCGATTAATAATGGTGAGTCTTTCTATCCGAAGTACATTGATGCGATGATAAGTTGGAAATTTATCACAAAAAAAGGTTTATAAACGTTAGCATTTACGTCGAAAAAAGCTCTGCATGAGTATGTACCGTTATTCCTTACAATACATATATTCAAATTGAAATATTTGTTGAAATAAATTAGGTATATTACGAATATAAAGTTACGAATGTATTGTAGATTTTGGTTTTTTTTTTATATTTATAGACTTTTTGAGTTAAAATTTGCTCATCGTCATTCAATCATATCTTGATCACATTTCACTGTTGTAATTGTCAAGTGTAGCGGAAAATAGATACAAATGTATATTTAATTCATTATTTATTGAATTCTGTAATCTTTTGTATTTATTTAATTCCGCACACTGCTTATTTCGATGGATACAATCTAGAGTTGAATTTACTATACAGAATAAATTAATGTTTTTGAAAAATTTTGTTAATTTCCGGATGGATCATGCAAATTTATCAAAAAATGAAATAAATAGTACTTAATAATTTTTCGTTGCTGTACTTTGATGACAACATTTTACAGAAAAATCGTTTAGCAAATTTTAACGTTAAAAATAACGTGCCTATATTTAAAGAATTATTCGAGGATAACAGTATTTAAATTAATAATGTATAATATAAAGCATGGTTTTATTGTTTGCCCAACAATATCCAGAATACGAAGAACAAACGTATTTATGCTCGCCGCGCTTTAAAATATATACAAAATGACCAGTTTTATAACAGTTACAATTTATCCGTTTGCTTTTGGTTTTGCGCCCTTTTGTATTTTTTTATTACGAGCCACACGGAACATGAAATAACTCACAGATATGGTCGAAATATATACGGTTGAATTATGGCGATGGCGCGTTTGATGGATTCGTGTAACGCGTTGTTTGTATTACGAGTGTAGTAGTGTCTAAATGAAATATGTATATCTGTGGTATTTTTGAATGCGTTGCACTAGCTTTTAAGAATATTCAATAAATATTATCGTGAAAAAAACAATATGAAAAATATGTGCGGATGAATCATGTAGGAATTGACATACATATAAACAGTTATAAGTGTGTCTCTATTTTTCCGAGATGCAACTTTTATTCTAATATTACATAAAAAATATTAAAAGTATGATTGAGATGCAGCTTACATAAATTTGGAATCATTTTTATGTCGATCTTGATGCTGTCAACATTGATATATATAAACACTGGTAATCTTGTTTAATCTAATTTTTTTTTCTGTATATCCATATTATACAAGTAGGACAGTTACCCAGAAATATATTTCTAGATCAGACATATTTAATATTCTTGGCGCCTTATCGCGTGCGCTCCTCTTTATAGAAAATTATTCATAGATATTGTCTGTGATCGTGTCACGAAGGTTTTATATTTCAGCGGTGTAATATTACCGACCGCGCGTTTTGATATAAGTATATAGAAAAATTTGTCGCGAGTGCATGAAATTCGAAAATAAAATTTACCGATTCGCGTGAAAGCCTTAGAACGTGTCTCTCTGTTGATTGTTGCGCCGCGCCGCGCCGGTGGGACAGTGGTCTTGTTTATCGGGTCGACGTGGAATGATATTTTTGTTCCGTGAGAAGGAACGGATCGACCTTCTGTCCGATTCACCCACGCGAATCATCCGTTTCGAGGGGAAATTCGTGCGGTGGCATACGAAATTCGAGGTTCGTCGAGGTTCGATTGTCGACAAGGTACGGCACAATGATTTCGAATCAACGTACGTCCACGCTTGTACACGCGGATACGCATGCTGGCCTCTCGTTCACTCTCGTGTGCGAGGCGCCTATTCAAGTATGATTGCTCGTTGATCCGCTACGGTATGACTCTCCCGTCCGTTTGGACGAGAGCGAAAATACAGAAATATAGAGCCCGACCTGTTTCAATATCCGACCTACTGGGAAAGAAGGTTTCATTACTCGCTACCAATTTCGATATCGATTGACGTAGCGCGATACCGTCTCTAATGGAATCATCTTTAAATATCGTCAAAAGAAAAAAAAAAGTCATTTGTAAATAAGATATTATATTAGGTTTTTCATGAAATATTACATTTATAACGTAAGAACATAATTTTTTTATTTATTCGTGAAAAGTTTTATTAGCTCTTACAACAAATTAACCTTTACCGTACTAATATGGGTAACTAGTGACCGAGCAATTCCTGTTCGTGCAAGTTTCTTTGAGTCTTTCGATAATTATAAATTATACTACATTTTATTATTTTCCAAAATAAATAGTCAATATTTATTCTAGAAAGTTGAAAGTATGTTGGTGAATTTTTAGAGATTTTTCAAATTATTTTGAAAAGGTAAAAAAACGAAGAGATTTGAAGTGATCCTTGATGGTATAGATGAGGCACCAAATTGTAGATGGTACGGTAAGGGTTAATTTAATTTTCATCAATTTCTCATATTATCTTATCCATAATGCTATCTTACATATTTATAGATGATGGACTTTTTTTTTATTAAAATCTTGGGTCACACACACAAATATACACGTTAATATAAAATTTACACGTTTGTATAACATTAATCTGTACTATCTTTCAATCCCTTAATTAATCCGATTTTATTTTAGAAGTCGTTCTGTACGTTCTTTTCTTATTGTGAGATTCGCACGCGGCTTACGTACGCTTGTTAAATCGAGATCATTAAAACGTGGCATAGCAACCAGTGGCACAGAGTCGTGCTCGCTCGCTCGCTCCCTTGTACATTCGCGTAATAATAACGTATATATGCAACGCGATAGTTCTTGTCTCGAGCTGCTAGCAATAAACACCCTTCTCTCAAGCAAACAATGCAACGACACGGGGCGAAAAATTAACGAGACGCACATACCATCTTCGCTACTTTCATCCCTTCGGTACTTATCTTCCCGCGCGACCACCCTATGTGCGCATACATAGACGCACACGCACAAAACACACACACACACACATACACACATATGCTGCGCGTCGTTTGGAGGGTAGTTACACGTACACCGGCGGATGTTCGACAGCTGTAGCAGCACGTCGCTAGCACGACTCGTTACGTACGTGTTCCTACGTATTTTCGTTGGTAGAACGATATGGGTTCCGATCGACCGTTACGAGCTATTCCATAAGACAGGTAAGCTCGCGAGCGAGCAGAGACCCGTAATTACGTCATCAATTTACCGAACGTTCGTTGACGAGGAGACCACCGGATATGACATTAAAGACGACCTTATGCGAGAGATTTACGTTAAAGTCGTCGAGTCACTTCCGAGAGAGAGAGTAGAGAGAGAGAGAGAGAGAGAGAGAGAGAGAGAGAGAGAGAGATCGTAAAGTGGATGTATAAATCCAACTATGCAGATATATGGGCGACGTATGTGAAAGTACTGTAATACATCATAGTTTCGTCTTGCCTAAGTTATTCATTCTTTCCATTTTTCTAACAATGGTCAAAATGATATCTCCGCACAATCGTCGTTTATGAATGTCCCAAGGATTTTCGCACACCGACCTGTCATCGACTTGTCGGCGCGTTTCCATATTGCGAAATGGTTATTAAAACGTGGTGTCATCCAATTAACGAGTAATTACCGTTGCTTATTATTGCTTGATGAGCAACACACGGTTATATTGCGACAGACGTGTTGTCTAATATTCCATTATCGATGAATATTAATTAATGTCACACGCGTATGTATCGCGCGCGCGGATAATTAAATTGTCATAAATTGTCGTGAGTTCGCACAGAGTCTTTGAACGCGACAATAATTATGCGTGTTATCGCGAATCGCTATTCCTAATTTTTCCTAGTTTCGCCAAACGTGATTCGATTGAAACTGATTGTCCGATGTATTGAAAGATTTTCAACAGCGATATCTCGCGCGCTCATTTGCGCGAGTTCTTGTCCAAAGTCTGGCAATTAGGATTGATCTCTTATTACTAGTACTAGTTTGCTGCTCTCCTCGCGACAGAGTTCTGTAAACTGGAGAAAGGATTGTCGGAGGATAGGTTGATTTGAGCCCTGCGGCTAGGTGGTGGAAATCTTTGATAAGGCACGGTTACCGCAAACGCTGATTGGTTGCCCGAGGCCTCGTGCCAATATGACGTTCAAACAATACGCTTCATGCTAACAATGCAATCGGCCGAGATAAAGATGATCCATCCGATACCCATCTACATCGCCCCTGCTATCCGATCGTTCACCTATGACTTTGGATTCCCCGATAACTTTACTCTAATTTCGAGACTCTGATGATTGAAGGGTGAAACAAGTCTAGGTTGTATTGATTGGATGATATTTTAGCGTTTCTCGGTACGACTTAGATAATACGTAAAATATGTCGTAGTGCGAAATTCGCGTCTCTTTGAGCGCGACAAGTGTGATATAAAATGATCTAACGTAACGTTACGCACGTAATTTAATTTCCTTGTATGTACACGGGCGTTACGCGAATACGCAAGCGTTAAAGCGGGTTACGCGTGTGACACACTATCTTGGCTATATTTTACATAATTCTCTTTGATCAACGTTTCGCGGCGCTTTGGCGTGATTAAATTAATTAATCACTTCTAACCGGCACATGCGTCTTTGTATCTGTCGCGATTAGGGAATATACACTACAGTTTCTATCGCGTCGACGAAATTGGGAGCTATAGAACGTGATATCGAACGCTCTCCGTGTATACATCTCTGATATATCATACATATTACGTGTATATATTTATAGTAGTGTGTCGCACGTTTACTTTAAAACACACATCCGTACATCCGCTGGTACACAAAGCCACATGGTGTCTAGCTGTACCTAGATATACGTCGTTACGCGCGATCGATGTCGTTATATTTTTCTTCGACCGTGTATATGCATTGGGCCTTGTTTTCTCGAGTATAATGAACCTCGTTTGTCGTTAAACTTCGTCGCACGTCGCACCTATACAGATCACTCTCGGTGCTAGTGCTGGGCTATTGGCGACGTTGA